GGTTTTGGTGGGCCACCCCAAGATTTTCAGTGGCCCCATTTGGCCACCCCTATGAAAGATTTCTGGAGGCGCCACTGCAACTGTCGCGGGTAGGCCTACACTGTGTATTTGCGTGGGGATTGTTGCAGTAGAAAATTCCACTGTAGCGACCGGTACATTAATGGGAAACCCTAAATGTTTGAGCACCCTCTATGAAACGTCAAGCTACCACACAGCACTTCCAAGAAATCTCTGGCGCCGCCACTGAGCCTGGAACCCCGTTTTGAAGAAATGTGCAGTGCAAAACAGGCTCATTGCAGCCACCTGTGATAAGACACACTTTTTTGCCAAATATCAGCATTTTCATTGCAAAGTGGCAAAGTATTATAACGTATAGTTCTAGCAAAGGGATTGCACAATTGTATTATGTATTTTTTTTTTAGCACAGACTTATGGATCATTGTTTTATTATTTATCACTGCTCGAGCAAAGTGATATTTTTTTTTTTTTGAAAGGAGTGCTCACGTTCATATTGATGTATTTTAATACATGTTAACTTGGCCCATTACGTGACTATTTGTGTTGGGGGGGCCCCGACTTATTTTTTTCTCCAAAGGGGGGGCCTGACAGAAAAAGTTTGAGAACCACTGGCCTAAATTGAATTCAACTCATTGTAGGAACACCATCGTGTGCGTGACCCCTGCATATGAGGCCACGTGAATAATCATAGATCAACGGTCTTTCAAGTTTCTGCCTGGTTGAGAATGCTATTCTCCTCTTCCTCTTAAAGAGACAGGGTCTATATTTCGCCTCTCTACAGCTGCAGGAAGCATGCGTATCACTTTAAAGCCTCATGACAGTTTGTGGAGGGGAACGTGGGCTGTGTGTGAGTCGGTGCTGTTCGGGGCATTAGCATACTCATACCCCGCTGTCGACCTTTGAATCTCGGGGCCCGGTAGGTAGGCAGCTCCGCCGTCCACGGTCCCAATTGGCTGAGCTCTTTTCCGCTGCACACAGCTGCTTCCTGCTGCATGTGGTAGCCCAAACAGTGTACACACACAGACGTACACTGTGTTTTTCTACACGCACTATGAGAGTGTGCACGATGTTGCTCGAGCCCAAAGTCCCTCAGTGAGTGGCGCGGTCTCTTATCGTTATGTTAGAAGATTAACGAGGTTATCGGTGTCCTGTAAAACACGTAGGCTACTGCCAGCTGTCAGCCGGGAAGCGGACAGAGGAGGCGGACCGACGAGGAGAAAGGAAGCTCCCGCTGTAGCTGCATCGGACAACGGCATAGCACGGAGCCATGGCCGAGAAGCGGATGTCACGGTGGTACTTCGGTGGGCTGGCGTCCTGCGGGGCCGCCTGCTGCACGCATCCTCTGGATCTATTGAAGGTAACCCTCCGCTGCTGTGTGCTGGATAGCAGGCCTGAACACCAGCTGTTTGCAAATCCTGCGACACTACTTTACAGACTACTACTGGGTTAATTTACAGTTATTCAACTCCTGACGATTATCATATTACTGTGTGCGTGCTACTGCTGAATTAGCTTCTGGTGCCATACTCTGAGGGATCACATATCTCTGCTATGGCATCAATGTCCATCACACCGTGCAAGTCTGCTCAAATATAGGGCACAGGTTAGGACCAGTGGTAGCTGGTTAGCCTAAATGACCTTAAGTGCTATTAATGTAGGACAGATTATATAAAGCAATGTTTAGATTCTTTCTAAAGTAATCATAATGGCCCAATGTAGCCTAAATTTAAGATAAATATCAGGGCAGTTTCTGAACAAAAACATAATAGTCGACTAACACTCCACAATTGTACATCTCGACGGAGATATAAATCTAAGTTCCTCCACAAAAATCTGCTAAAGCACAACTTTAAATATTGTGTTTAACAGAAATGTGAAAAGTCATTCAGCAGTAAAAAAAGGCGACCAAAACGACCAATTGGTTGATATTTCTACTAATTTATATAATATGGTAATTGTAAAGTGTGTGTGGTGTATGTGTTTTCTTTTGGGGTCATGCATGTTCACTCTTGTTAATCGTTGGCTTGCTGTGCTGCACATCAGTAAGCCAGATTCTCGCTTGCTAATGCCAAAATTCTTCCCGCTTTACTGCGCCTCTCCTTCGGTTGTACTGCAATCTGCCCCACATGACCCTGAGGATACTAACTGCTCCTCAGGCAGTTGTGTATGTCTGAATTCCCTCGAAGGTGCTTCAAAACTGCCCTAACTTCCTTGTTATCTGGTGATGCCAGATACACTTAAGGTAGAATTATCCCAGGAATACATTTTTCTGTTGGGTTCTGAAAACAGTCATATCGTGTTGGATCTGGCATGTTTTTCTCACATCTGAATTTCACCAAAACGTTTTACAAACAATGAAAAAATAATTTAATAAGAGAGGATAGAATTATGAATGTTAAGGATATTAATTTCCCCCAATTTCAAGTAATTTCAAATGTTAAATCCTACAATAATTGAGGCTAACAAAAATACCTAATAACTAACACAGTTAGTGAAACCTGTTCCCACCAGTTTAGACATTCTCCAGTGTGACACAAGGCTTTTTATTTGGACTAAATTGCCAGATTTAGTGCACATGATCTGGGTCAAAAGGTGGGAGTTAAATGCACATAACTTTGGTGTGTTTTTTTTAAGTAAGACTTTAGAGTGTGGACTCTTTAATAATCTATAAAACCACAACAACTCTTTTAGAGAACTTTTCATACATATTTGTGTTGTTAGCAGCTTTGGGATCTTGATTCTTTAAGTCTGGTTCTTTTGAAAGGCTTCTACCCTTGTTTACCGAACAGTTAAATTAACAACCTTGAGGATATTTAAGAACACATTTTTACTTTCACAGTTCATGAATCACAGTCATTAACCTAAAATGTGTGAGCTTCTCTGTCAGCAGAGGCAGATGGTGACTATTTGGAAACAGTTTACAAAGCTTAAAAAGTGTTTTCATAATGCTGTACGGTTACCAAATTCCTGTTAAAGCTTGCAGAATGGCATCTAAATTTAGAAAGCCTAAAATGTACTTTAGAGGGAATAATTATGTTAGTGTGTTTTACAGCAGGGAAGTAGGGCTTTACCAAACACAAAAAACGCAAAGATTGCTTAGTCATGGTGCAGTTTTATTTTTTAGTGTTAACCAAGATATCCATTACACTCCAAGACAGGCTGGCCTATTGTTGTTGTCCTCGACCGGATTAGTTTGACCTCAACTAAAAAGTCAATCTTTCAGCAAGACACTTATCAACTTATCTGGGTGTAATATTTCACCACTGTGCGCGCGTGTCCCTCTACACATTCACCTGCTGATGGCTTAATGCGTTTGCACAACATAATGTGGCTCCTTTAATCAGAGCTTTAAAGATACCAGAGTTTTCTACTCAATGTGTCTAATAATAAATGATATTTATAGTGCCTTTCAAGGGACCCAAGGTCGCTGTACATGGCGGACAAACAGACAATCAAAGGGCAAGCAAAAAATAAAGGAAGCCGGGGGACCAAGAAAGGGCTAGGGCCCGAAGGCCAGGGTGAACAGGTGTGTTTTTAATGATGATTTGAAGATGTCCAGGGAGGCAGCATTACGGATCTCGGCAGGAAGTGCATTCCAGAGGGTGGGGGCCGCAACACTGAACGCCCTGTCACCAACAGTTCGGAGGCGAGAGCGGGGGATGGGGAGCAGGCCCGTGTCTGAGGACCGCAGACTCCGAGAAGGGGTGTAGGGATGGAGGAGGTCCGATAAGTACTGGGGGGCGAGGGTATGGAGGGACTTGTACGTGAGGAGGGGTGTTTTGTACTGAATCCGGGACTTGACCGGCAGCATGTGTCTAGATTAAATTCCCTGAAGTTATGTAGTATTTGTTTCCAGTGAAACCTTGCTCATAAAAGATTGTGCCCTATTATCAAAGAGAATTGAAGATTAACTTTGTAAGACTTTCTAATGGAAATGTCTTTTTGTCAGTCCACCAGTTTGAACCAGATTTGAGTTTCCCATCAACTTTTGGTTTTGATTGTTCTCCTGCGGAAGCCGTCTGACTTTGTTAAGGATACTTTTAAGTTTGAAAGCGTCATTCATAAGGTCTGAACCTATGGTCTGAACAGATACATATGATGCTACACTCATATTTTATAGTATTTTACTTTTATATATTTGTAGAATTATAATCTAAAACAAACTTGCGCATCAATATAGATTTGTTGGAATTTAGCCGTTTAACCTTTTGAACTGTTTTACAAATATGTTATGATCTATAAGTCCCAGTAATAAAATACATCTATATATTTAAAGGTTAGTGATGAGACAGTAAGACATTGTTTTTTGAAGAGCTTAGTGGCCTTCAAACCTAAATACTGATTAGAACAGAGGACAAAGCTCACGTTATAGAGCTGTGAAGGCCTCTGACAAGGAACACACACACACTAACTAACTAACTAACTATCTAACTAACTTGTGAATTGGTCATAACTGCCTGTGTGACATTACACCGTGGTCAGTTTTACTCAGCCTGAGAAATTCATTTAGTGTGTGAAGCATTTTCAAATCTGAGAAACAACTATTCACAGTGATGTCCCCAAAGGTCAAATATTTTTAACTGTAAGCCTGCGTTACAAAATGGAAGTGTGAAGTCTGAAGACACATGTGTTTACAAGACAGCAAAGGGTCTAATTAAAAAGGCTTGTGAGTTGTATTATGGGATGTCTAGGATCCAGTGAAGAGCTGAACTACCCCTTTAAGAGCTGACACATGTAACCCTTTGACACATTTAGTTTACCAAATATATCTGAAGTGGTGTCATAAATTACCCCCAAAAAACTGATGTTGCTCTGTCAACCCCAACAGAACCACAACGTCTCATGTTTATAGATTTGTTTTCTGTGTTCAACGGTTTCTTTATTATTTATGTCACCACAGTGCCAAATTGGTATTAAAAATAACCCCAAGGAAAATGCATGACTGTCTTTCCAGGTACACCTGCAGACGCAGCAGGAGGTAAAGAAGAGGATGATGGGGATGGCCATTCATGTGGTGAAGAGCGACGGTGTGCTGGCTCTTTACAGTGGCCTCTCTGCCTCCCTTTGCAGACAGGTATGTCTGTTTGCATGCCTTATGTTTGTCTGCCTATGTGTGTTGACGTGTTTCTGATTGGTTGGCTTTTCACCTAAATCTAACTCGGTAAGTGTCACGGAGGGTGGTAACCTCTTTTGTGAGCCAGCCTTTACTAAGATGGTATCAATAAAGAGTTACAGACAAAACAATTTAAAACCACAATAATGATAAAATAAGGCTGTTGGTCGGCAAAGGCAAAACACAGTAAAGATGATCAACCACCAAAGTTTCAGACCAAGATTTGTTGTTTCGATATTTTCATCTTTTGTTTTTCTGACTGAAATTTGAGTAAATTCATGTATTGTATTCATGGTTTTGGTTACAGTGAGAGAGTTTGAATGAGGACATAGGAACTGGTAACTTTTCTCGAAGCGGTGCTTTATAATTAGATTTGAATACATTCATGTTGCTGCCTCAGTGTGATTGCTAATAAAAAGGTGGAAATATTGACGTGTGAAAAATCCATTCTAACGTGACCAAAAGTTAGTTTTGGTTACTTTTTTAGAAACGTTTGAATCACAGCCAGAAAATTAAATTGGTTGTGTTGCCAAAGGCTCCTCCTTGTAGTTAGAAAAAGAATATTCAAAATGGTGAAAAAAATGTGAGATACTTACTCATTACTTTTTCCTCTCCTCTCAGATGTCCTATTCGCTCACCAGATTCGCCATCTATGAGACAGTGAGGGACATGATGGGCAGCACAAGCCAGGGCCCCATGCCCTTTTACCAGAAGGTCCTGCTGGGAGCCTTCGGAGGTAGAAAACATACATTCTGCCTCCCTTCTCCTCCTTTTTACACACACACACACACACACACACACACACACACACACACACACACACACACACACACACACACACACACACACACACACACACACACACACACACACACACACACACACACACACACACACACACACCCGCGTGCAGTATAACCCATACCGGATTGTGTTCTCTGCCAACAGGTTTCACTGGAGGATTTGTTGGCACGCCGGCAGACCTGGTGAATGTCAGGTAATTACCATTCAATCAATGAATTAAATACCGAAGATTTAAATGCTTAAAAGGAACATTTGCCAACTTTCAATGATAATGTCCAATCAGTGTTGATGGTAAATGTAGTCGATTTGTAGTTATACAATTTAGTGTACTTTATTTAATGAGAAAGGAATGCTGCTGCCGGAACAGTTTTTCTTCCGGCTGCCAGCTTAGGAAGTGTGTATGCTCTTTTAGCTCAAACACAGAACTTCCTAAACCTGTTCCATTGTGCAAACATAACAAAAACTAAATGCAGCTCTCTTTGCTTGTATTACAAAAGTTCAAACTGAAATGGCATCCAGAGTGCAGATCACGTTCTGGACGAGAATACCGTTAACTGCTGTTTGGCTGACTTGGGTATTCAGCTGTGTTTTTTTTAATTCAAAGTATACAGCTGAAGCAAATGCAGACGCCATCATGTGGATAACTTTCTCGGTCATTGTACTTCACCCTGAGGAGACGCTTTAACTGTCTCAATGTACCACTCACACTGGTTGGACATTCTCAACCATCTAACATATGCATTTGTTTTCCTGTAACAAAACTACAATTACTTTGTTTTATACAGGATGCAGAATGACATGAAACTACCACCAGAGCTGAGGAGGAAGTGAGTGTTACTATAGATTAAAAAAGTTTAGATTATCTAAATCTCTTATTGTATTTTAAACCTGAATGTTTTCCTTCTTTCAGCTACAAACATGCCATCGATGGGCTCTTCAGAGTCTTCAGAGAAGGTGAATCCTCGAGCAATAAAGTGTGTAACTTTGTGTAAAGCAATCTGCGGGATCATGTCTGACCTCTGACTTGTGTCTGGCCCCACAGAGGGTCTCAGGAGACTGTTCTCAGGAGCCAGCATGGCCTCCAGCAGAGGAGCAATGGTCACTGTGGGACAGGCAAGTCACACATATGAAATACGTTTAAATTCCCTGCAGGTATTAACGAGGCCAGAGTATTTTACGGCCAGTGACGAGCAACTGTTTTTTCACAATCACAATTAAGATAAAAGTTTTCTCGTAAATACAATAAGAAGGCCTTTGATGACCATGTTAAAGGTGGGGTAGGTAAGTTTGAGAAAACGGCTCGAGATACACTTTTTGTTATATTCCATGGAATGCTCTTAACATCCCGATAGCAATGAATATCTTAAGTGCTTTGACAAAAGATCCATAAAAAAATGTCATCTGTGGAAGCCGTAGTACTGTAAAAAGGACGACCAATCATTTTAGCCGGGACTGGATGGCCTACCTGCCTGTCAGCCTTCCATCTGTGCACAAACTTATCTCGTGCCCTCATTGGTCATGTGCGCGTTCGTGTGTGTTGGAGGAGGGGCTCTGTAAGGAAGTGGCAGATTTTTTCCGGCTGTGTATTTTCAAATTCTAGCGCACTCGAGCTGGTTTCTCCAAAATGACCTACCCCACCTTTTAATTTTACAGAAGTGCATACAAAAACAAAAAGTGCACAGTTGTAGCATTACATTTGTTTGCTTAAGAAGTAAAATATTGAGTATTTGAACCAGGCACATCACAAAGTGCATTTAACTGAATACAATAATAGCAGTCTTAATAAATGTTTTTTTT